CGATGAAGGTGGAGGTGTTGGTCCACCAGGGCCACAGCTTGTCCGGCGCCATCCCCGGGCCGGTGGTGGCCAAGGCCGAGGTGGAGAGGTGGTTCACGGCCCCTGGCGTGCGGAGGATCCGGCTGAAGGAGGGAGGCGTAAGGGGCTCCCTCTTCCTGCCGCCGGGTGAGTGCCCCGCCCGGAGACCTTCGCCCTGGGGCCGGTGGGACCCCTCGGCTTCTCTGTCCAGAGCAAGGAAAGTCTCTTTTAAAAGAAAAAACATACAAAGGATATCACCCGGGAAATCCATATTCCATAATAGATCTGAACGCCGCCCTGCAGACAGGTGGCCGGGTTTTTTCCCTTATAATCTTACGGAGACGCTCCCAAAGGCTGGTCGGGACACGGCCCCGCTTGTGAGTGGCCACGCTGCCTGGCCCTTATCGGCAGCACCGGGCAGGGCAGGCACGGGCAGTTGGCTCTTGTGAGACAGGCAGAGGCTAAATGAGAATAGGGGTTGTAGAGTTTACCATGTCGCTGCTCTCGGTGTACGAGTTTTCAGTAGGTTTGATGTTTGTTCTGGACTACCAGAATCTGTAACAGTCAGAAAAGCTGATAAGCTTCATCGTGTGAGCCTGTGCTAAATCTCCCAAGGATTTTACCCTGAGTAGGATAGAATCGAAAAGGCATTTTTCTTCCCTGTGAAACACATGTCAGTAAGCAAAGCAGCGGAAGAGATTCTAGAAGATACAGGTGTTCCACCTCTGTTATACCAGAGCCAAAGCTAAGTAAATAGTTGAGTTACTTCGGTTGTTCTGTGGTATAAACGCAAAACAGATTTCTGAGCAAGTTCTGCCATTCTGCTTGTGGGATGATTGTGCTTTATGAGGTGTGATATTCTGATGGACTGCTAGTGTTGTTGGAAAATGAAACCTTACACCGATGATGGTGTTTGTACGCTTGAGCCATGATTTAAACTTCTTGTATTTCCCTGAGTGTTGTGCTACTAGAACTGCCCTCCATATTACCTCTAATTTATAATGACTTGGTTCAGCAAATCCTGTAAGTACCACTACAGTTACTAGGGATTTAGGTATTTTCAGTGAATGATTTCCAAACCAATAATCTTTTTATCCATTTAGATACAGATCCAAAGTCCACTGAAGAAAAAACAACAGAGATTGAACTTTGAATTTTGGATCAAATGTTTAGTCAGCATTCTGGGTTTTCCATCACTGAGACGTGGTTGTTTTGATATATCCTGCCTTAGAGGATGAGCTGGATTTCTGCTGAGCTTAGTGGGAATCCAGAGAGCTGCAAGGTGGAACTGCATTTTTCCCTTTAGAAAGTCTGGCATTGTAATACAGTGGAAAAGTCTGTAATCATTGCTTAAATGATACTGGCATCCTTTTTGATGGAGGATCCAGTTACAGCATTACTATCATACCTTTCTTTGCTCCAGGGATGGAAAAATGTTAATATTATTAAGATAGGAGTCTTAAATGTGAACTGTTCTTAGTAAAAGTGAGATGACATGAGCGGGCTTATGCTGTAATTTTAAAATGAAAGCGATTTCTCAATTCAGGCATGAGTTACAGGTGTGTGGGTTTTTTGTTTTTAAGCAGTAAGAAAGTTGTCTAGCCCATTTTATCCTGCTTTTTAGTGAGCTATGCAGAAACTGTATACTTGGGCATGTGTAGCCACTCAGGAAGGCAGTCCAGGATCCTTGTCTGAGTTAAAGTTTGTCTTCATGAGAGAGAAACACATTGATGCTTGACTGCGTTCTGATCACATGTTCTTGCTAGAAAGCTTTCCAGGTAGGGGTGATGAATGAATGAATACTTTTTTTTTTCTAGCCATCTAGGCTGACTACAGGTTACTGTTGATCATCGCATTATGATAAATTTATCCAGACATATTTTCTCTCAAGTAGAATATTGAACTTCTATGAAAAATTTCAGAACTGAAAGGAAAAGAACCCAAAAACGTGTTTCAGTCCTTTTCTGACTTCCTAATGCTTTAAGTTAGGAGGTTTCCACCATCTAGCACGTGTTGTCCAAAACTTTCTTTTCTCAAGCGCCTTGAAATGCCAGAGGTCTTTCCTTTATTGCATATAGGTAATGTCAGAGAGTTAATGCACTCTTGCACAAGCAGGTACTTTTTCTGCTGAGATAGTTGTAGTGAGCTGGATCCGAGTACATCAGTGGCGACGTCTGGTGGTCAGGGGGAAAAAAAAGTAAAAAAAGAAATTGCCTGCCTGGGGTCTTTATAGTTCCAAGAGGTGTATCCTTAGCCCTTTAACCCAAGATCTGCTGGCATGGCATACAGTAATATCACAACACGACCTTGGCTGCAAAAGCATGCTCGTTTAAAATTGTGGTTCTGATTATTTCTGTAGTTTTGTGGGACTGATTGTATACATGTATATGCATGTTTATGTCAGTCATGCACACATAACCGCACCCATATAGCTCTCAGTTTTACCCTCTGTCTCTTCACATCTGCAGTAGCAGTCCTGCTGCCAAGTGTTACAGTGCTGATGTTGAGATAGAGCTAGTAAGTCCAGTTGATTTCATCAAACAATGGGTGTCTCTGCTGTGCTTTGCTCAATGCACTTTATTCCAGAGCTTGCGTAAGTTTTGTAGAATTTACTTCCAGCGCTCAGTGCTCTTGCCTCATTAGTAATGAGCTTGCACTTTGTTAATTAAGGTATGACTTCTTTGTGGGAAAATAGCTGATTTAGAGTATGATTGTTCTGAGGGTGGGAGGTTAAGACCATTGAAAAATACATTTAGAACAGTTTTTTTTTAAAAAAAAAGTTTAACTGTTCACATGTTTTTACAGGAAGGTAAGGACCTATTCTTAGTTTGAAATAGCTAAAGTGGTATACAGCATTGGTTCTCTAATCTCTGCTGTGCAAGTGGAAAAGTAATGAGTATTAATAGAAAATGTCTTAAGCCTTCTATATTTTGTTGTTCACTCTTCACCAGATAGTTTTTAGTGTCCTGTTTGATAACTTGTCCTCTGTGCCTCTTCTTTTTACTATAGGGGATGGCCCCTTTCCAGGAGTGATTGACATGTATGGTGACGAAGGAGGCTTGATTGAATTTAGATCCAGTCTCCTGGCTACCCGTGGTTTTGCTGCTCTTTCTCTTCCATATTTTGACTTTGAAGATCTGCCTAAGGTCATGAAAGAATTCAAACTTGAGTACTTTGAGGAGGCAGCTAGATTCCTACGGCGTCACCCAAAGGTGAGTGTAATGAGAGAACTCTCAGGACAAGGGAGGATTTGGCAGTCATGCCCAAGTGGTGGCGGTGATTTTATTTGGAGTATCAGTCTCTGCTGGGCAGGTTTAGGCCCAGTAATGGAAAAAGTGTAGGTCCTGCATAGGCGGCTATGTATATGACTGCAGAGAGTGAATTTCTTCTAGCACAAACTGTCTGCCAAATAAGTTCATGCTGGAAACTAGAAGATTCCTGATCATTAGAACAGTGAAGTGCTGGAATATCCTCCAAACAGGAGCAGTGGTGATAAAGATGTTTTTGGTCTTTTTAAATGAAAGCAATTAATTTAAGAGAGGACAATACAAAACTGCTCAATAGTCAGCAAAGGAATGGTTTTGATGACTTGGGATGTTGCTTTCAGTTTTACTTTCCAGGCTAGAAAAGGACAAGACTAAATACTACTTAGCTAATCCTTCAAATGTCATTTGTGAGGTTACTTTATTTGCCTGAGACATATATAGCAACAGACTGTGCTTGAATTTCCTGCTACCTGTTTTGGGAAAAAGAGAAAATACTTGGTTCAAAATATGCAGTAGGGACTAGGTGAGGTCCAAGTGATGGTACTTCTTGTGCCTCTCTGTGTTATTTTTTGGGGGGTTTGACAGCTCTTGTTGTCTCTGAAAAATAAGACGCTAAACAGAGGGAAGAGCCTGGGTCCAGGCTGTAGCTTTCCAACAGGTCACATCAATAATTAACCTTTTTTTTTTTTTTTTAAATAACACAGCTCCAAAGGCATTTAATGGCTAATCCCATTATAATGCATACTTCCTTTCTTCCTTTCTTCCTCTCTTCCTTTCCTCTCCCTCCCCCCCCACCCCCATCTTATCTGAAGGTGAAAGGACCAGGAGTTGGAGTGATTGGGACTGGGAAAGGGGCAGAATTAGCACTCTCCATGATCACCTTCCTGCCAGAAGTAGTGGCTGCGGGCTGTATCTCCGGCTGTAGTTCAAACACAGTTGCCGACCTCCATTATGGTGAGATGACTCTGCCTGGGCTGCGTTTTGATATTAATAAGGTCAGTGTTTCTGACGCTGGTGTATTTGACACTTTTGAAGCTCTGGATGACCCAAGGAATCCTGCTAATTCTCCTTGCACGATCCCCATTGAAAAAGCAGAAGGTCACTTTCTCTTAGTGGTAGGGGAAGGTGATCGTATGTGGAAGAGCTCCTTATATGCAGAGCTGGTAATCGGGCGTCTACGCCAGCACGGGAAAGAAAACTTCAAACTCTTGAGTTATCCAGGAGCAGGTCACCGAATTGATCCTCCTTCTACTCCATTTTGTCAGGTAGCTATGGATCGTGTTCTGGGGGTGCCTGTTCTTGGGGGTGGAGAGAGCAAAGCACATGCCCATGCACAGGAACACTCCTGGGGAAAGATTCAGGAGTTTCTGCACTTGCATTTGGGATGAACACTTAAGCACCTGCAAGCTGTTGCAGAACAGCAGAGGACTGAGCTTGAGCCACCAAAATGACTGGTGAATTGGAGGGACTGACTGAGAAAAGCTTTGAAATATGAAATAACCAAATGACTACTTAGCTACAACTATAAATCCAAAAAGAAAGGGATTTAGTTGGACTAGCCTAAGTTATTTTAACTAGGTACACAGAGGAGAAGTGAAACAATGATAAGTAGGCTGCATTGTAGTACAAATTTGACAGCCTGAATTGGTCATGATATCGAGAAACAAGTATCTGAAGAGAGTAGTAGGTACTTTCTTGCTTGTAGTATTTATGGCTCGGAGAATTTAACAGCTAGCCTGCACCCTCAGCAATGACAGACAGGACCGCACCTGGGGAATGATGGCAACCCATGGATGATAAACTTTGACATCAAAATGATGATTCTGGCTTTGGGTCTTAAGTTACCTTAGCCCAGAACTCTCAGATTTACAGCCATACACACCTTAAGAAATGTTTTCTATTTACATGAAGCTGGGGATATCTATTTGTAATGAGGTTCATATACCTTGACCTTAGGTAGTGGTCTCCTGGTGACACAGTCTGTTTCTTTCCAACAAAAAATACCTGTAGAGTGGGAAAATGAAGAGTACTTTTCCTGTCATCCCAGGAGAATGGCAGCACTAGCACTGTCTTGCATTAGGGATGTAACCATCTGTTCCTATAATGTCTTGGGTTGGCATTTGACACTCAGGGTATTAAAATTCTGTTGGATAGGTTAAAGCATGGTTAAATGCAGTTATGCTATGTGCAAGTCTTGCTTCTCTCTTTGTTGCTTGTTTAAAACTTAATAACACCTGCCACTAAGTTAGGGATTAATTACTTGTGGAACTCTTTAGTAATGATGTTGACAAATGCTGACAGCTGTTCTTAGGGAGGGAGAGAGAGAAGGTTTTCTGTCTCTCAACAGAAGAGACAGTAGAAGATTAAGACTGACTGTAAAAGGCTGTCACCTTATGGCAGTGATTAACTTAGAATCATAATACTTAAAAAAAAAAAAAAAACAAACAACCCCAAAACTAACAGCCCCCCAAACCCAAAACAAAAAAAAAACCCAAACCCAAATCTAGGATATGTTTTCCATGACTGCCTGAAATTGTGGGTGGGCTGGTTAGTTTGTTTTTCATCCTAATTAATTTTTGGCTAGTGCCTTATTTTTCTCCACCATTCAGGTAGAAAGAAACAACTTCTCAAATGAGTTGATCTCTCGAGAGGGTCTTGCTGGAATGGTGCCAGTGCTGAGGGCCTGTTTAACAAGGGCCTCTAGCAATACAATTTCTCCTTCCAAGGTCATTTTGTCAGACCAGTTTGAGAGCTGCCCAGGAAGATACGAAACCTGCATTTATGGTACTCAGTTTTGCTTTGCTCTCAGGGATCTCTTCAGTTAACTGTCATTATGTGGCTGCTCAGGTCTCATTAGCTTTCTGCAACTCTTATTACTCCTTATCATTTGATTGAAGTCATATGTTCTCCACACGCCATCACTGCCAATTGAACAATTTATCCATCCACTCCTTACAAGAGAAGCTCCGTCCTGCTTGTTCCACACAAAATGTCTTCGTGCCTAGTCTCTCTAAACTCCCTCACCGGCTGAAGAGGCTCTTGCAGAGTCGTATCTGGCGCTTGAACCTCCACGTAGCACCTCCACTGCTAAAACTGGCAGCCCCAGAAGTCCAGGACCACAGCCTGCTGTGTGATGTGCATGTTGGTGTCACCTGTGCTTAGTACCCTGCCTTTTTTCCAAATGCACTCCAAGTTGCAACCATAGAGGAAAGGGTTGTCTGAAGGTTCCTCCGTTTGTTCTGTCTGCCTCGTCATATGCATCTTCAGCTGTCAGAGCTGTGTAACTGGGGTACAGCAGCACCTCCTCTAACCCCATTTTGTTGCCCTCCTGGTACTGATTCCTGTGTCTCCACGCTGCAGTCCTACCTCAGCATATCCATTGCTGTGCAAGACTGCAAGCCGGAGGTTCAGGAAGTAAATGTTAAGCTGTAAATAAAACAAAAACCAGGTAGCGTGAAAGTCCTCAGGCTCTGTTTCTAAAGCACAAGCCTTTAAAATAATTCAGTGTTAGATGTTGTCAGAGATACGCAATTTGAAACAGAAGTAAAACGCTCCTTTATTGAAAAGCCTGTGTAAGAACTTGATGTTATATTTTTGTTTCTGAATAGTTCATTTGTTCAGAAAGCTGAATGATGTTTTTTAAACAAAGAAAGGAGGAAAAAGAATGTAATTTTACTGTGAAGATCCTTTTGTGAACAGGTCGGGGTATTCCTGGACAACGTAATTCACAGAAGGGTCTGTAAGAAAACCAGCCAACTTTTGCACTAGTACGTTGTACATTTACAATGCCACTTGGAGACCAAAGATACGTTGCAGACACTCCGCAGGTGCTAATGTAGCTGTTTCCTGAAGTGCACATTAAACCGAGTGCCCGATTACGGCCTTGGTTAAAGCCGTGTTGTTGACGTTGTTTTGCATTCCTTGCCTGGCAAAGCCACCGCTTGTGTGGCTGGATGAGCTTCGCTAGCTGAACCTGGGGGGGGCCCGGGGCGCGGCTGACCCTGGGGTTCCG